TTTCGAAGAAAGGTATGAATGTTTTTTTTTTGAAATTTTCAGACATTTTAGATCAAATTACAAACAAAATTATCTGAGAAATTGGCAGAGAAATATTCAAAAATTTTCCTAAAAATTAGTGATTTGCCAAAGGAAATTTGGCAACGCCTGGAGGCTCATACGGCGTTTTTCCTTAGCACGACAGAATAAGTGAGGGGGCACTGTAACAAAAGCGCAATCATGACGACGATTTTCGCGCATGCCACTGATGGGAGTCGTTTTAATTAACCTTGCCAGGTCCCAAACTGTCTCTGAGCACGCGCTCGCGGAGCTATCAACCCCGCGATATTTTCCGTTTGAACCAATTCTCTCGCCGCGGGGAGAGCATGGAAAAACCCGGGGTGGTTTAATTTCCATTCTGCCGCTCGGGTTGAGGAGTTTGTTTCTTTTTTTCGTTTTGCTTTTTTCCGTTTTTCAATAACCGCATTCCCGTCGTTCTCATTCGTCATTCATTACTTCTTTTTTAAGAGAGGAAGGAGTTTTGATGACCTTTTTTGCTCCACTGGGGCATGTCACCCTCCGACGTTCCCCTCGAGTCATCCATCCGTGCGTCCGTGTTTCCTGTCTCCGCCGTCGATTCATATTTTTATGTTATTCCTTCCAACAACCACCCACCTACCTTCATCCTTTACACCTTCTCTCCTTCGTCCTCTTACACTGAAAAAAAATTCTCGGCGTTTTTACCACGGTCCGTTGGTACCTTTACCATCTCACTTTTTTACCAATTATTGGTAATTTCACCAAGACAGACTGGTAAGCTTACCTAAAAACCGGTATTTTTACTGTTTTTTCAGGTAAGAATACTACTTTTATTGGTAATCAATTCCCGGTAACTTTACCATTTTATCTCGGTAATTCTACCACAGTCGATAAAAAATATTGGCGTTCTTACCAAGGTCCAGTAAAATTACCGAGAAAGTTCAATAATTCTACCGAGATTTCTCGGTAAAATTACCAATTCCATAATTGGTAATTTTACCAAGAAAAAACTGGGATCAAATAGAACCCTGAATTCTTGGTATTTGTACCATTTTTTTAGTAAATACACCGAGATTTTTTTTTCAGTGTATGATCCGGCACTTACTCCTGAAGCTTTGCTACCGTTTCACTCCAGACGTGTAGGAGGGTAGGTAATGCCGTGATATTTTGAGAACACGAGCCCAGAAGTGTCTGACCGTAAAATTTTATTGAAAGAAGTTTCCGTTCTTTGTCAAATTGCCACTAATCGTACAAAAGACTCCTTGAAATCGACTGATTTTATTTCAATCCCATAAAAAGGGTATTTTTTTCATTTTTATGGTAGGTTATTGTTAGGCAAGACAGCCGGAAGTGCTATCTTCTGCATGCTTTCGTGGTTGATGCGTTTTGGACACACAATAAACCCATTTTCAGGTTAAACATTTGCAGAGGAGGCGGCACTTTACTTGAAAGCACAGTTTTTATTGGATCTCTGGAGAAATAATGTCACTTACTGCTGTCTTGCCTGAAACTAAGTCAGTTTTTGCGCACTTGCGGCTCTCTCATTGTCTCGTTTTTAAACAATTAAAATGAATTTCGCTATTTTAACTATTTTAGTGCTAGAACAGTACATTCTGTGTACAGGAGCAGGTGTTCAGTACATGGAGCACTAGAATTTTCAGCTGAGGTAGGTAACTGAAGTTTCCAGTCACGGGAACCGAACCTCAGTTAAGGTGACCTCGGTTTTGTCCTCCATTTAAGAAAGCTTTTGGGTATCTAAACTGAAGTTTGGTTCCTCAAGTTAAAAACTATGGTTACGTGAACCGAAAAAAAATGATGAATGCAGTATATGGTGCGTGCTCAAAAATGCGTATTTAAAGTTGTGACATTTCAAATATTTGATAGTGTTTCATTTATTTACTTTTTTGTCAGTTTGTTCCATCTGTAAGGAGATTGTTGAGAAGCTTCTCTTCAAATTTTCCACGAATTTTCTTCGCTCATAAAAAATATTCACAAAGAATATTCAAAGTAATATTTTGGGTACCCTTCTTTTTTAAAAAAAATCAAAGAAACTCGGAGATTTTGAATCGTTGCAATAAAGCCACGCATTTATCGTCTCTCAAAATCTTGTACGTAAATAGTGCGCAATAGTAGTGAAAAGCGTGGTTTGGGAATGAGAATGTTCTACGAAAAAAAAAATGTCTAAAAGAAAATTAATTAATAGTGCCCACGTGAATTACCGGCCAGGTTGCGAAAGGCAATTAGATCGGAAAGCAATACGAGCCGTTTGATCCCTTTCAGACCATTAGCTCAAACGCTCAGTGTATTCGTACCCATTTAGGAGGTCGAAAGTTTCCCCGACGTAATGTTAGCATCTTACTCTCGTACAGAACATTTGGACTGAGCAGACTGGGCTTTTTAAATTATTCCCTGCACACCAGACCCACCCCCTCCCCCTCAGCCTCGCGTCGCGCTGGCAAAAACCCCCATGGGCTAGCGAAATTCCATTCATTCTCAGCGCGCGCGCGAGCAAGCGAGCGCGGGTGGGCGAAACAAGAGCTTGATTAACTTGTGCGATTCTCCACGCGCTGAGGGTTGATTTTAATGACATTTTTGAGCGTTCGGGGGATGATACATTGTGGAGTCGAATTGCACCGCCGCGTCCAACACCCCCGCCCGCGCTCGGCCAACAAACTTCGGAGTTTCAGTCGCTTCGTTAAAAGCTACTGTCTCCGGGCAGTTAAAAGTCGGGCAACTACTTCTCGCCGGGGAAAAATAACCGAGCGAATTTAATCACCTGATTCGCCGAGGATTTGAGTTGATTGAAATAGCCGCCTCGGTTCTGCATGGCGAGGCGTGAACGATCGATTTTCGATTTCCGCATTTGAAGCTATGGTGAAGAATCGATTATTAGGGTGTTCGTTGCGAATACCCTGTTTTTCGATCCTTTTCTATAGGTTTAAATGGGAGATCAATCGATATATCGCAAAGCACTGCTGCATGATGCATCGGCGGCGACGGTCGATTTGACAATGAGACCGCATCTCACGAGAGCTTTCGCTTTGTGAACCTCGCCGCGGGCGATCTGAAGTCGCATTGCAAAGAGAGAAAAGCCGAACCTTTGCGGAATGGATGGCTTCCTGTCTGCAAGAAGGATGCGCACGCATGGACATACCGCCGGTGGTTCACGGTGTGGTGGTGGGGAAGGGATGAAGGGATGTCGTGGTTCCAATCGGTTCCCCTTATGTCGGGAAATAAACTGAAATGCGAGAGGTAGGGTGGCTGCTTGATTGCACACAGAGACAAAGTATTTCTCAGTCTTCACACTAATTTAGTTTGTAATAAAGTGAAAGATTTCTTCTTCTTCGCTGCGAAAGAGTGACTTTATTCAGCAAATATATTTTAACTTGTCGGAAGACTATCAAGAAGCTAGGCAAGAAGACTATCTTGTTTAACTATTAAGAAGCAGGAACCTTTCTTGACTGCTTGATTGGAGCGGATTTAGGTGCACTTGATTCAAAAGGAAATCTTTTTGACGGGGAAGTTGAGAGTGTTTGGACCGCGTCAAGGAGAAAAGAACCTACATCAGCATTGGTCATTTTTAATTGGGCAATATAATTTTTTACATGAAAACGGATATGCGAATCTTTGTGTAATCGACATGCAGCCAATTCCTTAAAATTTTCAAAGAGATCCGCATAAACGTTCTCTTCGAAAAAGTGAATTGCCCAGTTAAATTTGGCAAAAACTGATGCGGCTTGGTTCCTTTCTGCTAAACACGCGGTCCATTTTTGCTATACTCAAGTCACTTTTTTCATAGGTATTCTTCCCTATAAAGACCACTAAATTTCTTGCTTCGTGATGAATAATTAGCGATACGATTTAAAAAAAAGATCAGCAAAAAGACCCAGTTCGACAAACCTCCTTCCTAATAGGCTAAAAATGGGATTTGTCTTATCACTAATACTTCGGCAAAAATTGAACGACGTTGCTCATGCAGTGTTGCCACTTTTAATCAACCTTACTAATTTATTATGTTTAATTGCAGAGTCACGCATCAATTAGAAAATTGAAAAATGTTAAAATTTCCAATTTGTATCAGTGCGTCTACTGCCTTTATTCAGTGCGTTTCTTCAACTTAATCGAGTGTTTGTTTATCTCTTGCGCCATCATCAAATCTCGCAGCGATGTTCAGTTTACAAATACGAGCACAAAAGACGCGAACTAACTCTGATGCACCGTACAGTTGCACCATTTTCCAAATGTGCAAAAAACGCATGATGAATCTTCTGAGCTGCTCAACCAAGCTGAGTCTTCAAAGTTATAGGATGCAATTCAAGCAGAATCGGATCCAGTCCTCTCAAACGCGGTATTAACGAGCTTTTATTTGTGCGAAAAACAGTGCATTTTCAACACCCGCTCACTCCGTTTCACCCTTATTTCCTACTTTTTTGGTGAACGGAGGAGACGGTTGCTTCTTTTGCCCCTCCTGCCTCTCGCCCAACGAGTCTTAACTGCGTTCGATAAATATACTTCATAAAAGAAGTACCTATTCTCTGGATGCAGGATGGATACATATCTTCACGTCTACTTTAAAAAGATCAAGAAAAATCATCCGAGGGCAAAAAAACGGAGCCGAAAACGCAGTTCAAACAGCACGGCTGCACGGCGAGGTGTATAGGCAACTATTCGAGCGTAGTGGTAAAGCAAATGGTCTATACCCTAGATTGAAGGCGTTTTTTCGGGGGACCATTTTCCATGGTTTTTGAACGATTTAAATGCTTGTGCTCTTACGAAATTCATACGGGCAGTTCGAGTTCAAGTCGCAAGTTATGATCTAACGTTAATTGCATCTTTTAAACACACCTGCCTTATGAGTCAGAAGCATCATAAATTTTTACTTTAGAAATATCATTATTTATTTCAGATTTTGAATTGGTGTCTTTATAATTTTACTCAAAGGCTAGGAGATAAAGATCTTTGACCCAAGTGTCTTTACTTACCGGTTGGAAATTTTCGGACGATCTGATCATATTGCTTATGAACTCTAGTAAGTTGAGTGATGAGATCTGAAAATGAGGTATTGGAAGGGATGTTACTGGAGGTAATGTTGTGAATTTCAGCCTCTAATGAGTTGATCCGAATTTGATCAGCTTCCTGTTTGCTTTGCATGTTTGACAACCCCACTCCCATTGCCTTTACGGATACTCTCTGGTTATCCTGAAATAAAAAATCAAAGGTTTTTGAGTGAGTTAGTCCTTAAAGATTTTTCTGGGAGAATAGTAAATAACAAAGCCGAAAACATTGTATGGTTTAAATAAGCATATTGTAGCATAAGCCTTGAAAACCTTAAAATATTTACTTAACTACTACTAAATTTTACTTTACTGCAACGGATATTGACACGTACAATTTGATCATGGAGTATATACGTCTCCTTGAAAAAATAGGACTTGTCACTCCTCTAGAATATAGGCGTAACTCCCTGTTGAAATGATTTTCGAAAAGTTTAATATTGGAGTCATAAATCGACAACAGGGCTTACTTAAATGGGATTAAAGTTACGCCCTTTAGTCTGAGGAGCGAAATAATTTTTGAAACAAGGATATTTTCTGCTGTTTGAACAAGAAATTCCCGTTGAAGCACACGGAAAACAAGGCTAAAATATTATAATAAAAAATCCGAGACGTTTGATTTTCACTCCCTCGGATCTCGGCCATCAACATGTAGGTCTCAGGTTTTTGCATCGATATTTTTTTATTTATTTTCCTACTGAAAATGATTCGGTTTTGAGTCGGAACTTCCTCAATGTTTTATTTTTGCACTTTAGCCTTGTTTCTCGTTTTCCCCTTGTTTCTCTCCTGTATGAACCAAAGTTGAGTATGTATAACGGGATTTTTTTTCTCGATGTACTCTACATACATACGCACTGGAAAAAAACACATTGGATCTAGAGTCCAGACTCTTAAAAACATCGACAAGAAAAAAATACTCTTGATTTAATCAGATTTAAGCTTAAATCAAGAACCAAGCCTCTTAATTTGAGCGGATTTTCTTTTGATTTAAGCTTAAATCTGATTGAATCAAGAGCTCTTTTCTTGTCAATGTTTTCAAGAGTCTGGACTCTAGATCCAATGGTTTTTTTTTCAGTGATACGGAGCTGAAACGGCGGAGGAAAGTTGGGGACTCGGGGTTACCTGGTCCTCGGTGATTAGTTGGAGGGAGGAGGAGATCTTGGCGAAGTTGAACTCGAGCTTGGAGATCTCCCGCTGGAGGTCGGGGATATTCTTATCAACTTTGTTCTCGAGGGACTCGACCGACTCGAGGAGCTGGAGCATGGAGGAGTGGAGTTTGTCCAGGGCGGTGACTTGCTCGGTCACGTTGAGCAGGGAGTCCGAGTGCGTTTTCGCCTTCATCTCGAGCGTCCCGACCCGGGTGAGAAGGGCCATCCCCGTTTCCGCGGTGGTCGTCGCGCTCGTGGCACCTGCCCCGCCGCCCTCGGCCACTTGCTTCTCCAGCTGAGCCACTCGCCGCTTCATCTCCGATTGGTTCGCTTGCAGCGTCCGCATCAGCTTGGACAGGTGGTCCAGGTTCCGCTTCCAGACCTTCCTGTGCCGGTACAGCCGGTCCCCGCCGTCGCTCACCTCCGTCCGGACGTCCAGGTTCGAGTCCACGTACTGGAAACAAACAAAAACAAAACGGAAAATGAGTTTTGGTTAATACACTATTCAGACATAACAGTGGCTGCGAGGTTTTACACAGATGGCGATCTCCCGACCTAGTTTTTAAACCTGGACCAAACGAGGAGTTTTATTTGGACCGCGGTAAGCGGAAAGGAACCTAGTCATATCAGCTATTGCCAACTTTAATTGGGAATCAACGTTGAATTCGCCAGTAGAATATATGTACAACAAAAATACTCACGAGCATTCTGACCTCTGTTATCCAATGCCGCAATCACACGCTGAATTTAGCAGCTGAAAGTGGAAGTCAACAGTCATCGCCCAATACGGCTGAAATTTCGCAAATTTGAGCTATTTTCATCCAAATGTGTATCAAATCTACTCGAATAGTTCAGACAAATACAACATTGGTCCGATAGTTGCTGAATTTTGCGCGTCACGCGCAAAATTCAGGCATCGGGCCGATGACTTCCACATTCAAGCCACATTCAGCTCCCACATTCAGCGTGTAATCGTGGCATATGTTGAGAGAACTTGGAGATCTAAGGCCAGGATGCTCACGAGTACATGTATTTTTGTTTTAATTGAGAAATTTAATTTTTCACATGAAAACGGTTGTGCGGATTTTTATGCAAACGGTGAATTCCCTGCATGGTACAAAGAATATTCTTCAAATTATTCAAAGGAATCCGCACTAACGTTCTTTTGTAAAAAAAGTAAATTGCCCAGTTAAAAGCGCACTAGCTGATGGACACATTGTAACAGTAGGTAACTAAACTCTTGTTAAAATAATTTGACTAATTAGCCCGAACGAGGATAATAAATGAGAAAAAGAGGGGAAGAAAAGAATTGATATTGCTCCCTCTAGAGGGAGGGTAAAGAGGCGAAGCCGCAAAGTAACGTTTCTTAACGCTGGCGTAGGAATATTATTATTTGCACAGGAATTTAAAGGCGATAAGCTCCTAGTTATCGGTGCATGAATGGGAGCGATAAATTCAAAATTAATTGAAGGCGTGCGCCTGACTTTTCTTCCCTTCTCTTAATCGTTTTGGCGAAGCTCGGAGTTCCCCCTTTCCTCCCCCTACCTGATCACTCCCCCATTTCTTCCTACCTCTATAATAATATTTTGAGCCCCGCATGAGATTTAATTCCATGCATGGATCCCTTGCTGATGACTCGGCACGTGCGCTAAGCATTGGCGGGTCTAGAGAATTGGCAACGTTGCTTTTTCTCCATTTAAACTTATTGAAATGCATCGATTTTCGGAGGGGCTCGGTGCTTTGGAAAGAATCGATTATTCAGCACAGGTTCAAATGAGGCAAGCCGGTGTTGCCAAATTGCTGTATCCGTCCTGCTTGGCAAGTGCGCTAATTAATAAATTTACATCATAATTCATACTGAATCAAGATACTGATGAGCTTTTTGCGGAAAAAATCAGCGTAATCCGTCGTTGTTGCGAGGATTACCAGAAAACTCCGAGAGTTGTAAGTCTTTTTAGGGACAAAAATTCAAATTCAAGTCAATCCAAAGACCTAACGGATCCGCGATTCAATTTGCGTACAAAGATGAAAATCTTTCGAGAAATACGTGTTTGAAGTTTCGAAATATCATGGATCCTCATTGCGAGATGAAAGTTGGTACTGACTTTTTTATGCTGAAAAATTAGAATATGGGAGCAAATTGCTCACAGAAAAAGCAATAAGACTAGTTTTACTTAAAATCATTAATATCTCAATTCTTTCGAAAACCGCATTTGTGCGCCTTGTTTTCCGAGCACCTCCAGGCTCGGACTGGCCATAAGGCCAATCTGCCATTGGCAGATACGCCCCCTTGGCGCGCCAAAAACGCGCCCCTCTGACAGATAGCAAAATAAGAAGAGTGAAAAATTACGACCGAGAATATATGCGGAAAATTTCTTAAATGAACGGAAGAAGAGTGAGTTAGGAGTGAAGAGAGGTGCGGTGAACAGAGATCCAAGAGCTACTTTCTGAAGCGTAAACACTTTTCTGTAAAATTGTCAATTGTAAATAACTCCCGTAGGCGATAGCCGGTTCGATTTTTAGACATGCGCACACTTTATAGGCCTCTTGAGAGACCTTTAAACATATTTCTTCCTTTTCAAAATGACTATTGATTTGGACATATCATACCATACCTCGGGCAAACTTAATCTTAATTTATTTCGAAATTCAAAAGTAAGAGATATCTAAATTGTAAACGCGATACAACTATTCTCGCAAGATGGATATCCACATTGCATATGAAAAATGTAAGACGCGATGGCGTGAGTCGTGAACTCGCAATGCTCTGCTCTAGTTTAAAGCAACATTACAAATAAGACAGACGGAAACAAACACAACATGGAAATAGAGGGAGGGAAAGGATGCGCGTTAACGACGGCGCAGAGATACAACTATTCGTGCTTGATGGACGTCCGTGCTGCGTCTGAAAAATTGAAGGCGCGATGACGCGAAGCGTGAGTTCTCAATGCCCTGCTATATGCTGCCAATGAGGTGTCGCTCAGATTTGGGAGAAAAGTTTAAAAAGAGGCCCGAATACGTCTTTCTTGTCTTCGGCTGTGTTGATACTCGTTCTTTCTTCTTTTTTCAGGATCTTGCCTGATTCTTTTTTAGGATAGATTTTTAGACCCACGTCTTAATCTCGTGTAAACCGCAGCACTGACACGGTTCTTATGGAAATAATAGTGCTTGGATGCGTCTAGTGGCTTTAATTTTTTTTGTTTTCTTTGATTTCAGAAATGTGTCGGTCACTTCAATACGTTCAATTTTACAATTTTTACTCTGTACGATTAACAAACTTTGAACCTGGAAATAGCGTAAACTTGTGCTGCTTTGCCAAAATTTTCTGAACCCCTCTCCACGAAGGGGATGCCCCATCAGGAAATATCACATTACGCCCCTTTAACCAACCAAGGATCCACGCCCTCAGATGCAAGCCAGTCCGACCCTAAGCCCCTCACGTGTATTAAAATACTTAAATTCTACCGTGTCTAATCCACTAAGTTAGCGAGTAACTGTTCTTAAAACGGCACAAAAATTACTGTATCTAGAAACTAGGGTTGAATTTTTGCATTTTCAGAACGAGAGCTGAGAACTCATCTGCCGTGCTGAGGAAGAACGCCTTATGAACATTCGAGTGTTGCCAAATTTCCTTTGATGAAATGTTTATTTTTGAGGAAAATTATGAATATTTTTCCTTGAAACTTCCAGGAACATTAGATCAAAATGCGAACAAAATTCTCTGAGAAATGGGAAGAAAAATATTAATAAGTTCGCCAGGAAATTCGTGTTTTATCAAAGAAAATTTGGCAACTCCTGAAGGTTCATACGGCGTTTTTCCTTAGTCATGTTCTAATGCTTGAAGCGAATTTGCAGCTGTTTGATTTAGATAGTACGAGTGAGTAACGCGAGGAGAAGAGACCAACAAAAGCAGTGATTACCACTTATTCGAACTTCCGCTCATGCTTTTCATGAATGTTGGATTGAGTTTTTCCTTTTATTTTTCCTGCCTCTCAATCAACTGCCGCTTTTTCTCCCCAATTTTTCTCCGAATTCGCCCTCACGTCAATTCTCCCTCGTTCGAAAAAATCAACGTGATATTTTGGTCTCGTGGCCCGGTCTTTGTATGACGTAGACACAAATAACAAATATAAATGTAAATGGATTTAGAAAATTGAATCGAATTGGGAACGATGCAATCAACCGTAAGACGAAGTGGGAACGTTACATTCAAAAGGTCATAATAATACAAAAAAGGTTTCACTATTGATTCTCGGGTAAATACAAGAGGAATAATTATAAACCTAATGATGATAATAAAGGAAACATTAAAATTAATTGTAATTAAAGATATGTTGCAGTTAGCAGTTTGTATTGAGGACGATAATAACAAAAAATTTAAAGCCAAATAATTGCATTTTTTATATAAAAAATGCAATAATGTTATATTTTACCTGAAGCTTTTCGATCACACGAGGTCATCCTTAGAGGTATAAATATTGCAAATAAAATGTTGTGGTGAAGTGTACATGGTCCATAGGAACAAAATAAACTAATAATAAAGAATTAATACAAGATGAGGATCTGCTCTGAGGATGATCTTCTGTGATCGAAAAGCTTCAAGTAAAATGTATCATTGGTTCATTTTTTATATAAAAAATTCAGTTATTTGGCTTTAACTTTCTTGTTATTATTGTCCTTAAAATAAATTGTATTGCCAAATTTGGCTTGCTGCGCTGTAGGTATAGAACATTATTGATTGAAAAATCGAGCTTCAAGCCAATATAAACGAGTAATATTTCAGTCTTCATGTAGATAAGAAACAATGTAAATTTGGATTTGTCTTACTCTTCTCTATTTTTGAATGAATGCTCAAATCATCGTCTCTCTTACGAAAGAACTTAACTCCATTTCGATGTCGCCAAATTTCTCCGCGCAAATTGCAATATAACCAGGAGAACTTTGGAAATTCCCAATCGAAAATTTTACTGATTTTTCTTCTGATCCCGTGCACAAATCAGACAAATTTTCGACGAAAATTGCGCGGATACATCCTTGTAAAAAATTGAATGGTTCGAGTCAATTTTGCAACCCTGGAATGGAGTTACTTTCCTTCGTTTGGGAAACGACGAAATATGTGAATGTATGCAGGGATGTCTATGTCCACTCCACAGCCTGGGGCTTAAAGGAAGCAAGTGCCATACCGGTAGTCATCATGTTCAGTTAATTTTTTTCCTCTCTTAAATCAATGCTAAAACGCTCAGAAAATGAGCTAATTCTCGGCAGTCTTTTGGGGATGAGTCGCGGCTAGAGTCGAGGGTTTATTTGAAATGAGTCGCATTTCAGTAAATTGAATATTTTAACGAGGCAGGGACACCTTAATTTCCCCTCCTGAATGATCCTCTTAGTCTCAGTTGACACAAGGAGAGCTCATTAGCCTCACTTTTTTTCAGTTAGCTAATTTTCCTACATTGTTACGCTATACCTTAAAATTAAACATTAAAATCGCTATCAACCCCAAGCACAAGCTATTTTCTTCGCTCCCTAATTGACTCTCCGGTGTAATGTTATTTATTTTTCTCATAATAGGCTCATCATTCCCAGCTAAGTAATCATAGAGCTGCATTTTCACGGAAGATAGCACGAGCTTTCAACGAGAAAAGTATACCTCTGAAAGATTTTAATAATGCTGGAATAATTAAAAAAGAAGTGAGAGCCGACTGTGACAGATAGTGACAGCCATCTTCGTCATTGTGTCCTCTGAAAGTTTTCGTTGATACTACATCATCGAACCAGGGTTCAGTTGCCATTATCCATCAACCACCGTGGTATTATTTCAATGAGCCTATCGATGACTGGGGTGGCAAATACGTATCTCGATTTCGAAATAAAAAATGGTTCGACGCGCGCTCTTCGGGTCTGGTTATGTAAGTATGAGGGTCGTTCAGAGGGTGAGGTTCCATTTTTCTCTACAACTGTTACTGCTAAAAAAAAAATCAGAAATGTACGTTAGAAAGGTAACACCCTCAGCTTTTGAACGGTGTATTAATTTTTGATTTTTGATCAAAAGCTGGCTTAGAAATTGCACTTTTCCAAGGTCTCCTCGAAACATTTACTGGCACTTCTTGAATGCCTGACAATTGTAAGGAGTGTGTTACCTTTTTACCGGTACGTTGCATTTTTTGTAGCTTTGATAGTTGTTGAGAAATAAAAAAGGGGACCTTACTTTATGAACGACCCTCGCACATCTCAATTATTACAAGCTTGATATGCTCATACAATCAGTCAGAAAATCTAATTACAGCGCATAATCTGTATTCATTTTGATTCCCTTCGATCAAATTTTGAAGCCGGAAAAATTCCAGACGAATTCCATTACGAAAATGATCTTTTTTCTCGTCACACCAAATCTCGGAAATTGCGTCGAGCTGAAAAGGAGGACCATGAAATGGAAGAAGACATGACTATTTCATTCACACACTGTGTCTTTCAGGTGCCTGGTCTGAATCTGTATGAGCGTTTATAAAAAAAATTAAATGTAACATTCAGTGACACAACTCTCCCTCAGTTATTTTTCTGGGTCTGAAAATGTAATTACTTTCTTGCGCCTGTGTTCTTTTCAGGGTATCCGCGAGGCGGTGCCTCGTTACAGACTGTAACCCCTGTTGCCGAAATGAGCTAGTAAATCGAATAATTTGTACGAAGAAGGGCACATGCACTGCGAAATTTCGAGGCATTAACAGCTGTTTCTCGAAATAGCCATTCAATTACATATGTATTGCGTTAAGCAAAAAGGAATCAGCGCGATCACAGTGTTATCAAAATTTTGCAACTTCGTCTTTCCTACCTACTAAAAATACTCAATATACGTACAGTTTTAACATTTACACAAATATTTTCCTTTAAAATTGACAATTTTTTGGTGGGAAGCAAAACAATTTGCTGTTCTGGGAACTATCTTAGATAATTATGAAGAAGCAAAAATTTTATAACACAGGACTCGCACTGGTGCCTTTTTGCTAAGAACGATTCATACATGTGCCGCAGGCAAAAAGTCAAACCAGGCATTTTATCGAATGTCTAGGTAGATAGTCAAATTTTCAGAATTCACGAGGTTTTCTATCTTTTCACCAAGACCTCTCAAATGTTCAATCCTCTGAGTCTAAAAGTCTATCTATGTACTGACTGTCATTGTATTTCCCGTTCAAAAATGCTCCTCCAATTACTTCAAACGTCCAAATTATGAAAATTCTTTATTTTCTACAATGCTGCATATTTTTAGAATCGGCCATACTTTTTTCTCTCATTCTCATTTAATTTCAAAATCTCCAGTTCCTTTATGCTCTCTTTGTCAACACTCCCCCCTTACAATCGACCATATTTTACTTTCTTGCCCTAAAACCTATGCCACACGTATCAAAATTCGAAGTTCCCTCCCTGTTAATATGCACCCTTTGTGTTCAGATAGTCCAATGATAGTAACAGAAATTTTAAAACTCTTCAAGAAACTAAATTTAAAAATTTAAAATTGCCTAGTCCCCGACGTAAATAGCCTAGATGCTGATCGTCGTTAAATAAAATTAACTAACTAACTATAGAAAGAACTTATTAATCATTTTATGAAGCAAATTTTTGAAGAGAATTCTTTCCCACGCGACCAAAAAAATATTCTATCTACAGTTATCGAAATAATCAAAATATCATTCTAAGTGAGAATATTTGACTATTTGACTACCTACGCATTTTACAAAATAACTGATTTGACTACTTGCCCGCGCCATCTGTGAGTATATAGCTGACTTTAATCTTGTCTAATCTATTTACGTGACACAAATTTTAATACGATCACCCTCAATTAGCTAGAGAGCAGTTTTTTTTCTGTTGGTACAAAACTGACCTGGCGGCATGAAACCACACTGTTATAAAAATATGCTTGGAAAAAAATGTCTCATTTTTCCTATTGTTATTGTTAGGCCACGTCAATTCACTACTCGAATCTCCCTTTTAAAGCAGTGCCTTTCATTAAGAAATCAAACCTTATACAGATCGGCTGAGATGTATCGTTAAGCAATAAATTATGAAAACGCCTTCCCCAACTGACGTTTCATTTTACCGATACATGCTTCAAAGTAATTTCCCTCAGCGGCCCGCGGCGGGAATCACATCCTTCTTAACCAGAAATTAAACTCATCCAACGACAAAAGCCGTCATTTTGACAACAAAGGGAGTGACAACTCTTTTTGTCTCGATTTTAATTAGAACATCTCGGCGGACTTGGATAGGGCGAGCAATATCAACAAGAACAACAAAGTACTTAGACAGGATATCAGAGGTGTACTTCGCGTAGTTCGTTGACTCGACCGTTGTGAAATGGTGCGCGCCCCTAGAGAGGTAATTGGCCTTTTAGGAGATAGTGATAATTAGACTTAGAGTGGCAAGTCCAACTCTAAATTAGTGACAGCTGCTGACAGGGAGAGGAAAAGAAAGTTTTTGCCGATTAATCTTTCGGTAGAAAATTTTAATACCCCCTCCCCCCTCCCCCGAAAAAGGTATTTTATTTCATAAAAGCAGTCCCGCATTCGAAGGATGTTTTTGACTGAAAAGTTTCATACATTGATCCTTGTCGTGTCACATATTCCATACCAATCAAAACGAAAGCGAAAGCAAAGATGACAAATATAGGGGAAGTGAAAGCGCCTTCAATCCATCGGATATGCAAAATGGATATCCAACAAGTAGGAATAGTTGCTATTGACGAGCGTGCAAATGCGCGTTGCAAAAAGTGGTAACACATTGATTATACGAGCGGATAGACGGTCTAAATTAGTTTCCTTAACATAAATGAAACGCAACTATCTTTTTTTCTTCCTTGATTATTCGCACACACCACTATATAGATTATAGAACTTTTGAAGACAACTCTTGACCATACCATTTTCCGGGAATTTTTTGTATCAAAATGTTCGCAGAACGCTTTTTCATATCCTTAAGTTTTGAGGAATAACAGCCCTGTTTTCGTTGAGAATCGCAAGTCGTCAACTTCCTGTCAAAGTATCGCAAGTGCCATGCAACGTTTAAAAATTTCTACCGCCATTTAATTTTTTTACAAAGAAATTGTTAGTTAAATCTATTTGAAAATTTCACTGAATTTTATCGGCAGCACGAGGAAAATTCAGTGAAATTTTCTCGGACTGCTTCGTTGATCGATTTCTCCGTAGAAAAATTAAATATGGCGGCGGAACTTTTGAAACGTCGCATGTCGCCTATGATACTTTGACCGGAACGTGACGATGTTAGGATAAAACGAAAGTTACATGACTGAATGTAAGTCAATGAAATGATAGGGGTTAGAAATGGGCTACAGAGAACAGAAACAATAATAAGAAGGGAAAAAGGGAAGACAAGAAAGGTGCATCGAGTAGACAGCCTACAGGAAATGACAGCTGCGGTGCAATGGTTACCTTGTATATTTTAAGCGCGCCATCATTATGTTTTGACCACTCCGCCGAGGACTGCAGCTGCAACAGAGGAGAGAAACATGCCTCGTAAGTAAGGGTAATACTTCATTCAATTCGTAAAATATTACGCTCTAAACGTCGGTAAATTAGATTTTTAAATTCCCGCCGGTCGTGACAGACACTATAGGAAAAAGCTGCGGAACTTCAGATGCGATTCTGAGGTGTCTTTGCGGAGCTTACGATTGGGTGTTGCGAAATGTCACAAGTCAAATCCGCCGAGTTATTAGCCTGAGGCGTCTCCTAGAGACGCGCTTGTGAGACGCGCTTGTGGAACGCGCTTTCAGTTCTCTGAGAGACGCGCGCGGGGAGTCGGGAACACGGTGCAGACGGTGCTGTAACTTTTTGATGATTAGAGCTTGGGTTTGCAAGAGGAGGTAACTTAACCAGTAACCTAATATACTGACTCATTCGATGAAAGGCTCGGTTGAAGCTTCGCCTCTATACTGCCGCGCCAAGGAAAAACGCCGTATGAGCCTTCAAACGTTGCCATGTTTCCCTCAGTAAAAGTTAATTTACCGAAAAAATGGTGAGTATTTTTTTTCAAAATTTTCAGACAATTTTGTTCGCACTCTAATGTGAAACATCTGAAAATTTAAGGAAAAATATGCATGAATTCCGTCCAAAATTCATGTTTCATCCTGGGAAATTTGGCAATGATCAAATTTCCATTCGGCGTCTTTCCTTACCACGGCCGTATAGTCTTTCGTTCCTGAATCCATATCGATGCTGAAAATCCTAAACCACAGATCTCATTTGCGGCGTTTAAAAATCTCCAGTCCTATTTTAAATTTTAAAGGAGAAAGACTCAACATCATCCCCTTGAAGTTTTCTCAGAATTTACCTCGCACAGAGAAGAAAAATCATGAAAGTTTTTAAGAATGAACATTGAGTAGTTTTCCATTTAAAGACAAAAGTATGGCAGGAAGTCTGCAAAGTCGCAAATCGAGATACGTGGTTTGGTAGTTTCACCATCGATATCGATCGATTTTTACTAAAACACACTAGGTCGCATCAAATCTCAACCGCGGGCGGGGGGTCTGAAGATATATCTCTCCATGAGACTTAATATTAAGTTTAGATTACTTTCATGTTCAGAATGTTTTTCTCAACTTTGAATTTTTGAAAATGGCAAATTTACGACTCGTTGAACAGGATACTACTCCAAACTCAATTTTTAAAAAATGGAACTTATTTCGACTTAATTAAAATCGGTCCATATTTAGGCGTTTCTCAGATAAAATAACGTAATTGAACCTCAACGTTGCAAAAAGCCCTCTCTCAAATTTCATATTTAATAAGATACTTTCGGGCATTTCTGACTAAAAATATCAATTCGCTTTCAGTTGATAAGCCGTAAGGATTGGAAAAGTTTTGAAAGGAAACCATAGAGCCTTATTTTTTTGAAAAATTTTGTTGTACGAATCACTTTTTATTCAACTTGGACGCAAACCAACTCACAGGGTAATTTAATGATTATGGATAGAAAGAGCCAGAGACCACAAAGCAAAATTGTTCGAAACCCGACTACAAATCGACAAAATCTAAAAAAAGAGACTGGAGTGGGTAGGTATTATTACACGAGTAAAAAAGCTTGAAATAAAACAGCAAATAATGTTTGAAAAGCTAAGATGTTGAACTCCAGTTCTTACTTTTCTCACAGCAGCGCTGAAGACTATATTGCAACAATTTTTAGTCACATAACAATTGACTGCATTGTATTGTAAAATGATGCTTGTTATCTAGCTCCATAACTAGAATGAAACGTTGACTTAAACCAGAACTAACTGTTCAAATTTTTGTTAGAACGACTGTAATTATCTTAAATTCTCAATACTAATTTTCTCCATTGATCATTCACTAATATGTGATTATAGCTTTCGTTGTGAGTTAAGTTTGAGGGCGTTCGCTTGAGGTTCTGCACGAGGCTTTTCTCCCACTGTAATCCAAACTTCTTCATCAGTACTGGGAAAAACCAACAGTCCCGAGCCCACTTCAGCGTCTTGGAAAAAAAATTCTACTGAGGACGGAAATCCGAGGGCTGAGTATTTCCCGACATCGGAGGTTTATTTTTCTCGGGGAATCAGAAAAGCCGATTAGAGCGTTCGAAATTGATCTTGTGCTAATGAACTTTGTTATGTGTCGGATGAAGTCTTAAGAAGAATTATTTATGATGTTTTCTGCGAGAAAATTCAATTTAAAAGTTCCGCTTCTTCAGGCAAGCACTAGAATGACTCATCTATTGCTCGCCCCCAGACGGTAAGCCGTCTAGGGCAATCTCCCCCCTCCCCTGCACCTTCTCACCACCGTTCCAGGAGGAAATTTTCAAATCTAAGAATCCCTGGAGCTCTCCCTACACATATACACTTTTTTTAAATATTAAGTCTCCTCTTAAGTTTATTTTATTCTAGTATGAACAAGAAATCCCATCAGCACTATCAGTTTCATCTCGATGGAGCGGTGATATATTATATCTGTTCTGTCGATATTGTAGACAATCGTGAATGCTCAATCCTACAGCGAATCCAGAGAAAATCAATGAAAATATCCGTTAGAAATGAGATTTTCCGCTAGAAACAGATTCTTCTGGGACAGCTTTCTTGGGAACGTTTTCAAGTCGAAGGAGGGGTTCCTTAAGGAAAAGAAAGACCCTCCCTTTCTGGCTACGACTTTGATTTTTATAAAAGAAATCCGCGATCAATTCGCCGATTCCATGACGAGTTCCTCCTGTTGCCAAAAAATTCCCAGATAATTTCCCAGTTGCTCAATACTCTGTGATGATATGTGTTATCTGAAAAATTGGGAGAAAAATATTCATAAATTTACCAGGAGCTGCGCGTTTTATCAAAGAAAATTCGGCAACGCCTGAAGGTTCATACGGCGTTTTTCCTCAGCACAGCAGCATACGGCGATCTTCCTTAGCACGGCAGAATGGAGAGGCAATTTTCGGGAAGAGTGCTCCGTGAGAACCAAGGATTCCAGTGGCGTGGCGTGCATTGCGATATATCGATTGGTCTGCCATTCAAACCTATGGAAAATAATCGATTATTAAGGTGTTCGCTGTGAACACCCTCTTTATCGATCCTTTTCCATAGGTTTGAATGGCATAACAATCGATATATCGCAAAGCACGCCACGCCATTGATTCGACTGCTCAGCTTCGATTTTGTGACGTGGAATTAAGTAGGTGCACATGAGCGTGGAACTTACGCCCGATGCCGGTTGGTGGGGTGGAAATACGGCCGAACTCGGTAAGAACCGCTTTTCGACATGAGGTTTCCTTGCGGAGTTAGGTTGTTCTTACTCAGAAGAGCAGACGTCGAGTCGGGAGTGGGGTCTGAGTCCGCGGAGCTTAATAACAGCTTCGACGCGACCCGACGGGCCCGTGGAATGTTTCATCATGTGAAATCCCATATTTTACTCCTAACGAGGTGAGATACTGGAGAAATATGGAAATATGTGTCCGAGGTCAGCTTGACCCGTGACCCCCCAACCTCGGGATCGGAACCGAAAATTCACCGAGCATATTGGGATCCCTCTCGGTGAGAAGTTACGAAGCATCGAAAATGGAATTCGATCCATCCAAAAATGCAGCGGATGTTGAAAAGACAGCATCACGTCGACAATACTGCCGTGTGATAGCGAAAAGAGCGGTAAGTGTTAAATTTCCGAAATCGAGTTTCCTTCAAAATTCGTCGTACATCTTTTTTGGATGAAATCACTAAAACAGCAAAATTCATCCTATTTTCATTAAAAAGAGACAAATGCGAAAGGCGTGAAAGCATAAAAATTGACGTAGTTTCAGACAAAACAGCAGTAAATGACATTATTCCTCCAGAGAGCCAATGAAAATAGTGGTTTCAAGTACAGTGCCGCCCTCTTCTGCCGATTTCTAACCTGAACATGAGTTTGTTGTGTGTCCAAAACGCAACCACGAAAGCATGCAGAAGATGGCACTTACGGCTGTCTTGCCTAGCATTAGCCTAACACAAAAATAAAAAATACCCTTTTTATGTATTTGAAATAAAATCGGTCGATTTTAAATCATCCAAACGATTTCTAGGAGTCTTTCGTACGATTAGTGGCAATTTGACAAAGAGCGGAGGTTCCTTTCAATAAATTTTTCCGATTTCATAATCTATTCCGATTTTTTTCTCGTATAATTAGGGGGCCACGCCCCCGCAGTCCAACCCCTTGAGGTGCGAAGCGCCTCAGGTATCATGGATTACGCGTTAGGTCTCTGATTTTATATTACGAGTATGATTTTGATGCTTGCCGAAAAGTTATCAACGATTGTGGGTGTTTTCTTAAAACTTTTGAAATCATTTCGTGCGACAAAAAAGGTGTGAAAATAGTTGGTCTCAGGTGTTGGGTTAAAATACACGAGATACCATTGTCTACGGGTGGATCCGACCAATGGGCGTTACTTGGCCGGTCACTTCGTGAACTTGTTATTGGAGGCCGAAGACGCGTAGCATTCCTGGAACCGACTGCAAGGTCAACCGCGGGCCGGCCGGTGTTCCCACGGGACTTGTTTTATTCCCACGGGCTTCGGCTCATTTCCAACTCCGGCCTGAGAAGTTTCCCTTCGCCCAGTTTTCACCACTCACACCCTAGTCCAGTCTGGTCCCGCGATCCTCATACTTTCCCCTTCGTCTTTCGTCTCTTTCTCGCAGTCGCCCCGAGATCCCGAGTTTCATTGTTCCCTGGTTGGGAATTGAGCGGTCACCTGCAGCGGTCGTATCGATGCGACTGTTCTGCCAAGTTAAGGAAGACAGCAGTAAGCGCAAAAATGAAGTCTTAAGAAAATGGAGCTTGTGCGCTCAAGCGGCAAATTTTAATCCTCGATTATAATATTCGTCGTAAAATTGCCAATATTCCTCAAAAAGACTCTTAGGAATGCTGTGAGGGATTAATTTTTTTTTTTTTTTTTTTTTTTTTTNTTTTTTTTTTTTTTTTTTTTTTTTTTTTTTTCGTTTCATGTCAAGCTAGACAGCAATGCG